CTTAGTAATATTTTGCTTGCCATAACTGACTTCCATCAGCCTTTACTCTCAATGGCAAAATATTATTTACCGCATGTCAGAAACGCGTGACAGCTCAACAACCTGAACTGCTACTTCTTTATGTTTTCTTATTTTCTCAAGATATTCCTATTTAGTCAAGCTTTTATTTGATGTTGTTTGACTTCAAGAGCTTTTTAATTGCTAGAGGCATTTTAACAATTGGATGTGTTGTCTATAGGCCATAAGGTGCACATACTTTAAGAATCGCCACCGCTTCGGTATCATTGATATGTGCACACATTACAACCTTTAGTACATCATCTTAATAATGGAATAAGAGCTACAAGCATTTGACAGCTGACATGACATCGACCTCCTTCGGAGTTCCAAATTCCTCTTGCTACTTGTAGTCGTAAAGCTCATAGGCTGGCATTCCGAACGAGCGTTACGATTCCGTCGTAAAATTCCGCCAGTTGTCCCAAATTTTTGCTACCTAATGGAAATAACTAAGGATGACGCGACATCAATCCAATCTTTGGAGAACCAACACTAAAGTGACTGACGCACGGCATCGGCAACGATGAGAGGAAAAACTGACACTTCGAACGATGAAGGCAGTGATCTAGTCTGCCACAGTGAATACACAATGCAAACTGGTCGACAGCCTTGATTCCATGGTCACGTTGTCCTATTGTCTCAACGTTTCTGAAGTACGAAATAGTCAATCTTAAGCACTACGCCGACTGAGTTTGTCGCCCAGTAATATCGAAACAATGAAGAGTAACTTCCTCGCCACAACACAAGGCGTAATCAATAATGGTGAATTGCGCCAACTTTGCGCATTGAGGTTTTTCCTGATCAATTAGGTAACAATGAGTTGATTGTGTAAGAAACCACCAAATGAGCTTTTGTGTAAATCAAAGTGGTGCATATTCATAAAGAGCATCCGATAGGCGGTAGTAGAGACAGTGGGGAGACATGCGCAATACAGAGAAAACAACAGAAAGCAGTTGCAGGAACTACAATAGGAGTCGCGGTGGTGATTGACGAATCATTCGAGATAGCGCAATTGACACAAGTGAGTGGTGGAGGGGAGGAGGCTCAGTAACGGTCATCGCCACGTGGCTGCGGTCCTGCGAAGGCCTCACGAGCAGCGCCCATTCCGACGTTACGCACCATGGGGTTGGTCGCCAGACTGGTGGTTAGCTCTTCGCGAGCCTTTCCAAAACTCGCACCTGTCGATCGGTACGTTCGGTGCACCTGCGCAAGAGAAGCAGGGTGTGCATTACCATCGAAGATAGTAGGAAACTAATCGAGGCGAATGGTCATGAAGGCGAACCCAGATGCAATGGTTAGGCATGTGGTTTGCGGTGATTACCTGTCTAGCGAAATATAAAGACCACCTCAATTGCTGGAACCCATTAATCACAAACTTAACAGCGACTAGCATCTCGGGGCGAGTGCACAGACGTCAATGCAAAAAAGCAATTCGAAACACGAGCCAAACAGCGCTAAATGTGAGGCCAAGGTGGATAGACGGCTCAGAGCCACGCCCTCTAAAACGGGATGCGGTTGGTTGTCATTCTAGTCATATCTGCACAGGCATTTGACAAAATGGACTTTTATAAGCACCCACTTGCAATAGTTTTGGAAGCAAAAGCACTTGAAATTTTTCCTGGTTGCTTCAACACTGAAAGGGCCTCCTGCCCACGGTCGTCATTCCAACTACCAACGTTTCATTCGAACACTTTCCTCAAAAATTGAGGAACAACGTGGAAATTTAATCATGGGCAATTTAAGATTTTTGCTCTTTCATCCCTCCTTCACCCGCTTCTAGGTTGGAGAGAACGACTTACCAACACGAAGTAGTAGGAACAAGCAGCTAGTTCAGCGCCAAAAAGACAGGCGATGAGGAGGACGAAGGCCCCGACACCGGCATGCGTCTTTACAACGCCCAAGCCCACCAATAATCCGCTAGAAGGAGGTAGAAAAATGCAAGTCCCCTCAGCTTTACGGCTAGGGGCAACAACGACCAGTTTGTGAAAGGCCTCGTCCACCAGCGACATTACAGTCACTATCATAGTGGGTAAAGCTGATGCACACGATACCCCAACAACGCTAACTCGAGCGACACTACAAGATCATCATACTTTTCTGCATTCTTACGTCAGAGCGCTGAAGCCCAGGCGCAGGCACAGTGCCACCGCCACAAAACCTAAATATAGAGCGCATCGATCAGTACAACACTAGGTGGAGAAGCAGGTCTACGGGAGTAGGCCATTCAGCTTATGTGCACAGATAGAGATAGCCCAGAGAGACTGCACTTCATGTACCGCACATCTGAAAAGCATTCCACTTATTTTAGCATGCAAACTGGTCGCAAATCAACACTCACAAGACTGTGCAACTCAGGAGCCACTTACGACAAACTACTTCCGCAAAGGCATCTGTGAAGTTCGACGTAATTGCTTTTTACTAGCACCTAATTAGGAATTTAAATGCACCAACTTCGGCGGGGACTGCCAGTCTTACTTCTTAAACACCCTTGCAAATAAAAAGGTACCCTATCTCAGCTTACCAGGTGCCCCAACTCGCGATGCCCAAAAATTGTATGAGAAGAATTATACATTGAACGAAAAATACGAAGAAGAAAGCAAAGAAGTTGACGGAGCTGTTGGATCTAAAAGCAAATTGACCTCATTACTCAAGATTGCCGAATCGGCTTCAATCATCTAAGGAGTAACAATGTAATCATACTCAAATATTTATTACAAACGTTTCGAAACGCCTTCACCAAAACTACCAGCCAAGTTTATTGAGTAAGCATAAGCTGCTACAAAAAAGTCCTTCAAGATAGTATGGTGAACAACATAATTAAAATTTCTAATGGGCCAATAAAGGTGATTCCAATGTACAATTACTACTTTAAATTAACTAGGAAACGTGGATAGCAGAAACAAGATTCACCACCCAGTTCGGGACGCAAGAAACGGTGATCGCAAACAAGGTGTTTGGAATAAAACGCCCGGCTGCAGCTATTTATAAACACCATGATTGAGAGAAGTTGATTATATGGGTGATAAAACGATTTCGTAGCATACATACAAAGTTCATGAGTGCTTCCAATAACATGGCGAAGCAATGTTTAATCATATTTAAAAACCTTGGCTGAAACAGGACGGCGAAAGAGGAAAGATTTGGGAACATGCGACTTACTTGAAGGCCTTGTAGAGGGGACGAAACCAGCAGATGTAAGAGAGCGGGACACAGAGAATAAAGACTAAAATTGACACACCAAATAGGGTGCCCCCGGCGGGGTCAGACGACTGGGCAAAATAGATCACACCACCCAGAATGTTGACTGCCAGGAGGATCGCGTACGAGATCCAAATGTAGTAGCCAATAGTGACAAGCCGACGAAACTCCGTCTTGATTTCTAGGTCGATATTCTGGTAAAAGCAAGGCGTGCAAGGGCAGAAACTCGGCAGCGGAGGCCAGTTCTTACGAATCGCTAGGAGGGAAAATACATATAACTAGAAACATGACGATCGCATGCCAGTCCGCAATCCCACACAAATACCCCCTTACATCAATATCAACGTCGATTCAAATGAGACTACTCGAGGTGCGAAAAATGAGCTGAATTCTAATTGACAGATCCCCCAACATTGATAAGATTTAATGGCAGTGATGAAAGTAAACATTTTTACTCAATATATAAAAGTACGTAACGTAGAAGTTTGCAATGCATCCCTATTAAATTGAAATTAACCGTCACAAACAACTTACCATCAAAACTAAGATCTAGAATAAAAACACAATTCTTGAAGGCATTCAGTCCTTCTACAATCTGGGAAAAATTATCCAAAAAGTGCTCTCCGTCATAAGTCCGAAGAGTAATAGCGGCGTGCTCGACCAGGCTACTCTGCTTCTAAGCCAAAAGTTAGTCTAATTACTTGAATCCCACTTTGAATTCTTAACAATTGGGTGCAACTTAAGCGGATAAGACTAACAAATATAAGGCTAATGTTTATAGAATGGGATTGAAATAAATAAAGGGAAGTGAAAGGAAGATCCTTATAAAACATTACCATGAAGACTTGGAAGAGAAAGGCCGATTCAGGGGTTCGAAAAAAAATTAGCATTGCTATTAGTAAGCAACGTCAAGGTATCGAGAAACACCGTTACCTACGACGGAGGGTTGAAAATACCTCTTCCGCCCATCAAATATGACGCAATGATGGCAACACAACCAATTCGTGACAAGATCATTCGGGTAGGCTCAATGACCATTTAACAAAGTCACCCATTTAATCGACCGGTAAAAAACGTTCCTTCAGCGTCCGCCATTTGGAAAAGAGGTCAAAAAGAATAAATGAGATAATCTTTTCGGGGAGTGTAATCAGTTCGAAATTATGCTTAAAGCACTCTTATATGTTGTCGGACGTAATCTTAAGATATACTCCGACAGAGTACAATTGTTTGAGATTGCCAGTATCAGATATCTGATCGCCTTCTTATTCCCAGTAAAGTAGGACAAATACTAATAACATAAGCAATGACCCCGCAGATAACAAATGAATCAAAGGGCTGGATAACTCTATGCAAAATTTGGATGTCCACAAAATTCAGAGATTGGACAAATAAAACAATGTGAGACATTTTTCGCGAGGCAATTGCACCAGATACATAATTTGTGGGATCTGCGTACGTAATAGTTTAAAGAGATATCAAAAAGAACAATTGAGGGCAGATGAGTCCAGAATTTCGGGAAAAAAACAAAATAATTTGATGATAGAAAATCCCTTCGGGTCAAACAGGACAGAGAAGTGTTCTTCAAATAAATGGGCAAACAACATTTCACGTGAATACCACATGCTTACATCAGACCGAGGCTAAACGTTCTCTAGGCCTTAAAAGTTCCCAACGCAAACAACGCAGGCTGCAAAGTAATCAAATCACTGCGTCAAGCCACAATGGCGCGCAGTACGGCGTTTATGCCTCACTCAAGGCCGCCCACAGTCGAAATCGCGTGCACATAATTTACGATCTCTACATCTGATTACCAACAGAGGATGTGGAATCAAAATTTCAAGCAAAAGTTGAGAGACAAATTTGGCTCTTACATCAAAGGACTTCCATATTGAAAGTGTAAAATGAATGGCGAGAAGAAGGGATCAAGCGTCAGCATAACTACCACATTCAATGACAAAAAAAGATAAGAATTATTTGTGGCAAAAGGTTGTGCAGTCATTACAATTGTAGAGGCTTGGAAAACCCTACATGCGCACTCATCCGTGACAAGTACAGTCCAGGGGTAGTCAAAGCGGAAATACACGATCAAAACTACTAAAAACAAGTTTACCATCTGAATATCAAAAAACGAATAATGCAGAACAATTAGTGTCAACCACCAGAAAATGCCAAATGGGTGGACTATTACGTGGATATCACTAAAGCCAATTGCTACCAATTGGTCCATTGAAAGAGAGTTTCATGAGTCAAACATTTTTAAGATAAAGGCTCACTTGCAAATTAAAAATGTTTAAGAGAACTAAAAATAAAACTTGGGTTTAGGGAATTTATAGATCATGACAACTGTCTGCCTGAAAACAAATTCATCCTATCACGATTTGGAATGCAAGGAGGGGTAATAATCTACCACCAGGATTACGAAAACAGATCTAGCATTTGTTATGCGAATAAGAGCTGATAACTGCAACCTGAACTTTAACAAACTACGGTAAACAAAGAGTCCACCAACAAATTCCCATAAGTTTATTTCGTTTAGAAAAGTAAGGAAGTTTATTGTGTGAAGTAGAAGAAGAATGTAGTAGCTGACTACTTCAGAAGACTAGCAGTTGTAGGTTTCGGCCAGTGAATACCAAATTGGTGTCTTTTATATCCAAATCGGGTAAGAATGAAATGTCTCCGACTATAATGATTAATTATAACAATATTCCGACAATTTCGAACATGACCTGACTCCTATAGTTCTTTAAATAACAATGCATTTTAGAAAACAACTCGTGTTAAGCATGCAAAATAACACATATGCAAAACCACAATAATTGAGAAAATTAAGCTAGAAGATAGCCCCATGGCAAGAAACCGCATTTACAACCGAAAGGGACTTTACAATACAAATTCGTATCCTAAATATGAAGGAGCAAAGAGGATTTGCTCACATCAAAATAAAAGCACACATGCACGGGATTACAAATAAACATCAAAGTAAGATAGTTACCAAAGTAATGCGCACCACATCAGTGAGATAAGACAAAGAACCCACTGGACAACGAAAGCAAAATGCTAAATATACAGATTTCATACGTGTCATTCCACCCGATTGAGCTGCTTGCTCCTCCAGTCTTCGATATTCTTCTTCTCTCCGCGATAATTCCGCAGCTCTTCGCTCGAGTTCCTCTTGCCGACGTTGAAGTTCATCCGTAGCTAGCTTCGACGCGGGCACAGATGGATATGGCGGTGCAGTAGTGTTCGAGGACTCCTTTTCGCCACCAAAAGGATCGTATCCTTCTAATCCTTGATCATGAATTGTACTGAAGGTCGCCGATGGACTTGTTTCCGCATGTCCACCGACACCTGTAGTGCCCTACAATTTGAGCTGATGTAAAAAGAGAGTGACGACAAATTGAGGTGTACGCGAAATAAGTTCAAATGATTAAATGCTCGGAACAAGACGATTTACACATCTTCCAACCCAGGTTAGTATGACAAATAAAACTAAATCAACCACGGGAAATGCCGACGAAATTATCTAATAGGGAAAAAGGACATGACCGATTACAACGGCAATACACTAATCACGTGTGATAAATCGTGTTCGAATGGCACTCACCGGGTCGGCAAACGGATTTTCGCTTAAGCGACGATAACTATCCATGCCCAATTGTGATGGCCAATCAATCGGAGGGAGAAATTAAGCAAAAGCTGTTTGCAGCACATCAGCAGCAGCATAATTCGCACAATAGTGAGCACACAAATGCTTGTGGTATCTGATAAAGTTTTACTGTAGATAAAAAGTGTGCTTTAATTGTACACCTAGAAGCCATATAAATTATAGGCGCTTTGCTACTGTACCCTCGTAACCTATCTGTTGGTGATTCTTTTGCAAAAACTATAATTAATTTGGTGAATAAGAAACTGCTCCTTAATACTACAATGAACGCACTTTGATATAACCAAATGCTTATTGTTTTTCATTCATTTTGCTACAATCTTATCAAACACCCCGACATAAGCCCCTAATCCGATTAAAAAGAGGAATATTTTTACATGTGAGATGCCCACATGTCTGTCACTGATCATACGAAAATTGTCCCAAAAGCAGATCCATTTACCGGAAGCCGATATTTCAAGACATTTTGAGTGGGTAGCACCTTGCACTAATTCCCATTTGTCACTTTGTTTTCACCGCATTCCCGCCCATTTACATACCTCTGAGTTCCATTCAGCTACTAGAAACACAGAAGAGGCATAATCTGTTCACTTAATCGTCACCTTTTTTCGGACGTCTTAGGTAGTTTTCGCACTGAATCCTTCCAGATGGTCCACACTTGTTGTCAATAGTGTTTCTGCCGAACCTGGGACTGGGCCAATTACCCATGGTCGACGTCATTTCCCACCCATCTGTTAGGAGACTAAATAGATTTCCCTATCAGTGCCAGATGCTCTTCTTTTGGCACTTTAAATCCCAGCATTTGGCAATAGAAATCAGGGCGTTTGTCCCTTGAGGTAGGGTTTGCTTGCCGGTACCGTCAATGTGGCCCTTCGGGTCTTCCAGAGAAACTGAGAGGCTACCAGAATGACTGGGATACCATGCCACCGAGCGGAAATCCAATCCGCTGAGACTTCATTGCCTTTGTAAGCAAGCATTACATTACACTCCCACTGGTCAGTCCGAGGATATTAGGAGGCTTCTTCAGAACCTAACATGGCACCTGTGTGCGCAAATGACCAAACCGACACCTTCAATCCGCCTTCCACTTATTCCCCTGGTAAGCAAGACGACACCCATTTCCTGCAATCATATGCACATCTCACTCCCACACTCATTTCTACAAGACGTGCCCAAAGTGATGAACAAAGACAAGTTGGGGCGGCCTCCCCCCTTCCCCCTAATGGCATCTCTCGTTCTTATATTATTGATGCCTACGGCTAATGTTGGAAGCAACTAACCTCCATTAATTGGATCTACACATTTCGCGACTCCCATGATCAACAGCAAACACCACACATCACCGATTTCAGGATTGTCGAGATCGTATTCACTTAAATATTCCACCTGGATTCTTTGGACCATACAATAAGAATAGATAAAGTAGCACTTATATTTTATTATTGAAGGTAAGCAATGCGAGCATAATGGATGGTCGCTTCGCTAGAATACAATTTTGGGCATTGGAGACTGAAAGTGGAAAGGCGTTTATAAAAAAAGGTCAAGAAATACAAATACTAAAAAAGCTGGGTTAGAGCTAGATGTGTGACAAGGGTGTAACAAATTAACAAGTCCCTCATTTGCCTCCCTACAAAAAGCATACGTTGTAGGAGAGCACTAAACCGATTACATAAGCACAATGATCAGCTGCCATCTTGTGTATGCAAAAAAAGCAGCAGCTACGCCAATTTTTAGCGGAAAGCACAAAACAAATCAAGAATTCCTAATTAAAGGAGTAATTTTGCATTAGTACAGATTTATGCCCACCGGTGATCTCCTGGGTGGAGCTGTAAGACGATAACTTTTACTTCGCGAACAACTGCGTGAAGATGACGATCCCCGTGGACGACTTTGTTTCGCCTTGTACGTAATGCGAAAAAAACGTAAGTGAACCTGGATTAATGTGTAGGAGATCAGCACTTTTTCAGGCCGTATTTCTAGCAAATAGTACTACACGCATTTCAACTAGGCTGCGTTATCGGAGTTAGCAACCTAAATGGATAGTTGGGAGTCAGGAGCCCACCCTTCATTTTAGAAAGTGGAGTAGTATAATGACATTACATCCGGGTTCCGAGAATACATGCGAAGTTGCACCTAGCCTAGTAATGCCTGGTTAGCGCTTTTAACCAACAACCTTTTCAAGGCATGATGATGCATAAGTTATCAAAATCTGGCCTACAAAAGTCGAATCAGGTGGGTTCGTTCTAACTCTGGGTGTCGGTGGAATTTGCGGTTGAGCTTTTGCTGCTGGCGTTGGCGGAGGCCGCATGCTCGGCAATGGTGGCATGGCGTGAGGTGGAGCGAGATCTGCAAATCAAGACGCCCCCGTACATTGCAAGTACATTTACTGAGAAACCTGAACAGACACTTCCCACTTTCAATCACTTTTTTGGTGTGTACAGCTGTATAGACCTAAAAAACCATGTATAGCTTGGTCATAGGTGAAAAATAACCTAATTTTCCATTTGAAGTAAAATCCATGACCACATGTATATGCTGATCGACCCCGCATTTGGGTAAATGAAGGAGTAATTCGTAGGTCCCGAAGAAGAAATATGCAGCAAATACCTATCGACCCTTACTTGATGAAGCATTGGAGAGGAATGCTGTTTGCGATAAACTGGGTTCGGCCTCTGACCACCCCTGCAGATGTTTCATACCGAAGAAAGTAGAACTGTGATGAATATCACTGCTGGAACCTCTAGGCGAAGTTTTCGACAACCGCTGCTGCCCCGGCTTGAAAGAAGGAGAGAATAAGAGGGAGAGAGTAATTAACTTGTATTTTTCAAAATTACAGTCAAATTTTAAGGGCACATTAATTTAGAATGTATTTGTCAATGTAAGTAATCTTACCACAAAAAGTTGGTTTTGACTTTTGGCTGGAGCTAAAACAAATTTCAATGAACGCTTTAACTGTTCCTTTGAAATTATGTAATAGAACGATGTTATGAACGTATTCAACCACGTGGATTCTTCGGTCTCCACAATTTAGGCCACCAGAAATTTGTCTCTACAACCTCTGTTAACATCTAGTCGGCCCTTTTGTACACTCTTAAGGAAGACCATTTTCGACTGCAATTACATGAAAATTGAAGTGGAGTGTTTAATCCGTTCACCAACATCGATATATCTTAACTCACCTAATGATTTCACGTCGAGGTTTGACGCTGAAGTTCGCAAAAATGGGCTGACATTTCTTTCAATTTGGATTTCTCGTTTTGGACTTGGATGACATGCAATAATCTCAGGCTAAAATACACATCTCAAATTAAGGAATAGAGTTTTGGCATTTCAATAAGTGAACCCATGACGTCACTTATAACTCAAAACTGTTCGATGTTAACGGTGATTGGGACCATGCTCCAATGAAGCCTCCAGGTAGATAAAATAAGGAATAGCATATCCGCCGTTGTCATCTATGATTGTCATAACTCCGGTGTGCAAGAAGACAGTTAGGACCATTGAGCCATTGGTTTTAAGGTGTTACCACTTTTGTGCTTAATTTTTGAAATCGAAATGAAAACGAAATAACATGCAGTGATTAAACAGCGTACACTCATGTAGGGTCACTTAACATACATAATTCACTTTACTTACAACATTCATTTGAGAAAAATATCCTTTCTTTAGCGGGGTAGCTAAGAATAAAATCAAAAGCATTATGTAAAGTTAGTTGAACTAGCAAATTTCACTGGTACGAATTAAAACCACCGTTTTCTGATGGCGACGGTTCACTGTGAGGCGTTGACTGCGGGAACGCCTCCGGAGCGACGCTAAGACGCGACACTCGTCTGCTTGCGGGGTGGAAAGAGGGCTGTGGTGTGATGGAGTGTGGCTGGAATGGGCACCAATATTACCATGTGAGTGAAAGGCATGCCGGCAATGACTCAATCTTACATTTAAAGCCTTCAATACTGTGCCACTCACAACTTGAAGCAGAGGAAATGACTTCGGGTTTGGGAGCAGTGTTGGCTCTGAAGTGTGATAAATGCGTGTTTAACACACGAGAACAGATAATAACAAATTCAAATTGCATATGAAATTTGCCTTTCCATGTGTTGATGTGGTTTTGTATGGCTTACCTCAGTCACTACGGCAACTTCGAATTCCCCGATTCGACCTTGGATTTAGGGACACACTGACTATGCAGTTATAACCATTCAAAAGTCATGTGATGTAAACCAACAGTTAGAACCGGACAGAAGGAACTATGGTAGTGCAAGTGCCGAGACTTCCATGTTGCCACGTCTTCGTGTAGATCCGCCAGACTGGGATTTTACGGGTTAAGCACAAATCTTACTAGAGCCCGAAATAAGAAGTATACAGGACCTAATCACAAGTTCAAATGCCAGGGCGATAAATATTACGAATAATGAAAACGAATGACAATAATAAAGGTAGTGGCGGGAGCGGTGGTGGTTAAAAAGGACCGATACTGACCTTTGGAATTGGGGGAGAGAAGGCGTGGAATCTCGACAGCTGAGGCGACCGGCAGTAGATGGGGGGAGTGATGCGGGCGCAGAGTTAGATCAGAGCGGCCACTGGTAGAAATGGGTCGGTGTGCGCCCGTCTATTTCGCCAGTGGTAACAGGAGAGGGAGCAACGTGCAGCGGGGAGGGGAAGAAAGAAGGCATGGGCATGAGGACGTGTTATGCTCGCTTGCTACCTCGCATTACAATGGCATTTTTCCATAAAGAATGCACTGTAGTGACGCAACACGCAAGCCACCTGACACTCTTCATGCGTGCTTCGCCCAAACTACAAGATTTCCTCATGCACTAGGTGTCCACCCAAGCTATGATTTATTGGAACAATAATGGTGTGCAGATCTAATTATTTTTCTCCAGCCTTTGATGCAAACAAATAGTCGCAGTGAAAATAAGATTATTGTGAAAGCAAAAATAGTGTTTTACGTTTTTAATGGGAAAACCAAGTAATATAAACAG